CCCCCCCCCCCAAATGTAAACAAATTACCTGAATCATAAATCATAAGTATACTAACAATCAACAATCGAAGTAAAATTATCGAACCATGTCTATTCTCTAGTAATCTATGTAGTTAGTTCGTTCTTGATCTTTTTATACACACAACATGACCGAGACAGTAAAATCCCATGTCCTCTCATGCAATCAATCATGCCATCAGAAATCAAAAGGGACAAACACAAGAGGGCGGCGACCGTAGGGAAATGGAGGGAGATGCTCTATGACAATAAAACAACAAGATAAGAAAAGGGGTGGTAAAAAGAACACACAAGAAAAAGAGAAGAAGGAAAAAAAAAATCGGTCATGCCACACCCCTACCGGAACGCCCTCCCCAATAAACCCCGTCTAGGTTGCATCATCATGCTCCGGTTTTCTTCCATCCTTCTATCTACAATGGACATCAGCGTGCCCAACCCTCATCCCGCATCTAGAGGGGGTTGAGCTCCCCTTTGTTCTCCCAGTCCTCGAACTTTTTCAGGAGATATTGATACATCACCAACATCGTTCCACTTTGAATGCTGGTCCACACACCACGAGGTCCAACACCGCGGAACCAGCCTGCCAGCCCTTCCGTTTGGTAGATCATCTTCAAGCCAGTGAAGAACGACGACGTATCCAAGCGAGGAGCTCCAGGCGGGTTCACCGACGTGGAGGCTCCCGAAGTGGAGATTGGGCGCGCATGCGTGCGCAGGCTCGACGTCGTCTGCGAAGCCGCGTGGTGGCGCGGTCCCTCTTTGGTCGATGGGTGCTCCGCCGCCGAGTGCGAGGAGGAGCCCGGAGGGCGACTCGAGGGTGTGGTCTCGGGGTTCTGCTGGGTCTGGATACGTGTCTTGACCACGTCCATCGGGCATGTCAACACACCCGCCATCCCACCCGCAGTAACAGCCGTCAGGATCTCCAGGCCTAGCCCAATATCTCGAGAGCCCACCCATTCTTTGGCCATTCGTTGCTCTTGCTCGTAAAAAGCGAACTGGAGGGCGGAAAAGGGAAGATCGCGGTAGATCGTCGCCCGGTATCCGTAGTAGAGCGCGGAAAATCCTTCCTGGCGAATGATGGTGCGCAGCGCATCCCTGGTCGAGCGGTAATTATATCCCGAATTGAAATGGGGGTTGTTGTAGCGTCCTTGGAGCTGTAGGCGAGTCTTCAAGACCTCCGAGGGAACATAGACGATAGAGGCGGCCAAGTCCGCGAAGAAGCCTATAAGCCCATTTCCGATTAGCACCGAAATGCAACCGCAAATGACGAAGCCCCCAAACTACACTTACCTCCAGAAAGATACGCCACATTCGCATTGATTCCCGCATCTAGCATGAGACGTTTTGTGTACTCGTAGGTTCCAAAGAAGATAACGGTGCCGGGGAAGGAGCCGAAAAGCGCAGGAGTCACTCCGCCGTACAGGCCGCGGAAAAGGCCTTCTTGTCGGTAGATGGTCGCATAGGACGAAGTCATGGAGGTGTACTTGGGAGGAAAATGCGGATCGCCCTGTTGCCGCGTCTTGACGGTGTCTAACGAGTGCATGAGCATGTCACCGCAGGTGCCACCAATACCTCCAGCGAACATTGCCTGTAGGTCGAATTGGAGGATTAGCCCAACACTCGTGAATGGAGATAGGATGTGCGCCATGAAGTGCGCGCGCGCGGTATAACAGTAAAGATGGCGAAGACAAGCTACATACATGTAGGTACGGTGGACGAGGCTCCTCTTCCTCGTCATGGTGAGACTGTGCATTCTGTACATGATGTTCCTTGTTTGCGCTTATCGGCGTCGTCTGACGGAGATCGGTCGGGCCATTTTGAATAAGGGACTTCGACGCGGGGGAGTCTGACGAAGGTGTCTCTGTCGTCGCAAAGAAGCCCAAGACACGCGAAGTCAAGCTCATTGCAAGAAGACCGCAACCCACCGGATCGTGGTGCGGGCCAGACCACGGGGGTTGGGATGCGGCGACGGTGGATTAACAGGAGCACGCCACCTCGAACCACGAGGGGACGGCGGATTAGGAGGAAGATATATAGGAGCGAAGATACAATAGAATGCGAGAATAATCAACCCTGGGGAAAGGGGACTAATAAGCAGGGCACATCACAGCTTGAAAGTGACGAAAGCCCGACTGCCCGAAACCCCAAAATTTCGTCGGCCTATCGTCGGTTTGTAGTTTTCTCCGCTGTCCGGAGGCCGTGTCGCCGCCTCAGGCAACAAACATTTCTGTTATCAATCATGTTCTTGGTTGACAAATAGACTATAGGCATTTATCTCTAGATCGCGATCAAGTAGATACTTATCTACAGTAAGTAGTCGTACTATGCGGCTGACACTCTTTCTGTCACTGTGAAAAGTTAAGCCAATCACAACCATAGAGCTTCTGGGCAAACAATCTCCGCGCTGCTCATAGACAGTAAGTCGAAGAATTGTATTGGAAAAGAGGCAAAAGCTAATCACATCAATCGCATCAATCACGCCACTTTCGCATTGCAGAAAAAGAAAGTATATAAGGAATAGGACGCGTTCCACTCAAGCAAAAGCACTAGACATTACGCATAAAAACCTCACCCGCTCGCTGTCCTGCGACAAGGTCCAAAGCCATCCGTGCTTCTGCCCATAAAGAGGCTACATATCCTTCCTTTTCTCCACCCTTCAATACCTCAAATACCATCCACAGTTTCCAAATCTCAAAAGCGACCATCAACCCCGGAACGCAGTCAAAGAAAATGGTCATTGGCTCATTCAATCTTCATCAGACGCAATAGTCGATAATCAGAGCCGACAGTCCCTCTCAGGCGCAGATTGGCCGCAGGGTTCAATTTTATCACATCTATCCAGCTTCCGCGAGTCGCCTCTATTGAGAGCGGATGGGCAATTTATTGGGGCTTCTTAGCGGTCGCTCCGCTCAAGCGGCCGAGATCGGTGGCCTCGTAGGCTTGGCGCACAAAAGCCTTAAAAGACTCCCATCCCTGGCGAACGGCGGGTGGGGTGCTCTGGTGGGAAACCGAGGCGTCGACTCGAGCAGTGAAGTGGCGGACGGAGCTCTGGACAAAGGAGCTCTGGGAGTATCTCGCACGGAAGAAAGCCAAGTAGATAGCGAAAAGGACAATGCTGCCCTTCGAGAAAGTGAGAACGGCGACGGCCAGGCGGAACAACAACGCCATCTCGAGGTGCGCCACAAGATCCATGCTGGCATCGTAGTACTGTTTCACGAAGCGGCCAATAGTTTCCGCCAAGGGAGATTGTCTAACTGCAGGCCTGGGCGAACCGGGAGAGGAGGGAGATCCCGGAGCGCCAGCGGCCTGAGGGCCCTGGAGGGTAGGGATCAGGTGAGCACGAGTGTAGGTCGCAACGTGGAAGACGGAATAAACGCTGAATGGAAGCAGAGCGAGCGACACCTGGCGCGAGTAGAGCCACACCAGCGCAGTGCCTGTGGACGTTGTCAGCTTTTGAAGCTCTCATCTCCTCGTGTCGTATTCGCCCCAATTTCAATTTCACATCTCAAGGAGGAGAAGTAGACCCACCAAGGTACTGGACATTCTCATCGCCAGCAAGCTTGATCGCAATGTTAGGGAGCCCGCCCTGGAGCCGGCCGCGAGCGATATGGCCCTTGTACACAACAATTCCGTATGTCGCAGCAGCCGACAAGAATGCCAGGCGGTAAGAGACTTGGGCCGAGTTGGAGTAATAGTTGAATGTGATGTAAGACACGAAATAGCGTAGGACAGAGAGTAACAATGTCACATGTCTATCATCTGATCAGTTATTGCGATTCAAACAGTCAAGCTGGCAACATGGTCAGGCACTGCGAAGCGGAATTGTTTCATCCACTTCAATTGCAGCCGATATTGTGCTGTAAGGGTCGCGCAGACGGAAAATAACGTACCCAACAAACCAGGCGAATCTGGATGCGAAAGACCTTGTTAGCATTGTGACGCAGTCGAGTTGTGGAGGAAGCAAACAAACACTTACTGCAACGTCTGAGCAAGAGCCTTGAGCCTCTCGGGCAAAGGCAAATTTGAAGGGGGTGGAGGAGCCATGGGGGATGAATAGATTATGTGTGGTAATTATTGAGTAACGGCGATGGGCTTATGGACAACTCGATGGGATCGAGTGGCTATGGGACTAGATGAAGAAAGGAACTTGGGGAGGGAGAAGGAAACGAGACAGATAAGAAGAATTGAGCGGTAAAAGGGCTATTTGGGGGGGAGGGGGCTATGAATAGATCTCCACTAAATCGCTGACGAGGGAGGCTGGCTGGGCTAGGCGGGGGTATTTAGTAGTGGAAGGGTGAGGGAAGTAAGTGGAAGTGGAAGCTGGAGAGGAAGTGGAAGAGGCGGGTTTGTGTGTGTGTGTGTGTGGTGAACTCGAACTAGGCAAGACTGACTGCCACTGTCCAGTTCAGTCCAGTTCAGCTCAGTCCGACCCAGTCCATGCGCAGCGCGGCGGCCGAGGGAGACGAACTGGCGGCTCGACGGAGCTTCCCTTCCCGTGACGTCGCGCCGCCCGCAATGATGCAACAAACAACCATCGCGGAAAGCTTGTCGACATCATGATTTGCCTCCAACGCCCCCCCCAAGAAAACACAATGCGAAACTTGGTTTTTTAGTTTTACTGGTTGGGTTATTTCCCTTTCTTCGTGTGCCCTCGAACTTGTACCAACTCTTGGTTCTTGCTTCTTCAATTGCTGCTCATCATGTTCAAATTATTATAATATCCTCTCCCCGACTCTTGCATCACATCTTCGTCTCCAGGCAGCTAGCTACGCCACAAATAGAGCCTCGGTAATACTTCCGATCGCTTTTCGGTAAAACTTCAGATTGACAACTAACACAACAAGCAAACAACATGGAGGAATAAAAAGGAAAAACGTCCAGAAAAGATGGTCGGGGGTAGGCGATGTCACTAAAATGTGTAGAAGAGGCAAAAGTGTACCGAAGATAAATAGAAGTAATAGTACCAGGCCACGAAAAAGGGTGGGGAATAGGAAATAGGCGGGAACAAGGTATAGCGTAGGCAAAAGTACATAACAAGAAGCGAAGAGTGGACATGAAGCAGTGAATTCCGACCCTGAAGTGATCCTGCAGGCCGTCTCCCCGTGCATCGTCTTGCCCATCCAGGGCCAGACCACTGACCATCCAAATAGAGCACTGAGTCGGATATAGCCCTTGTATTCCTGTCTCCTAGTCAAGCCCCCAATTCGGAATTAAATGGGTTGAAGCGAGAGAAGAAAAAAATGAAATATCCTTCTTCTTTGGTCCTCACAATCAATGTAGAGTCATCACTGAAAGCAGATACGAGAAAAGTAAAGGTTCGAGAGAGTGTGGGGGTAGAGAGAACGAATAAACACAAGAGAAAGAAGGCAGGCGGCTAAAAAGAGCGTGCGGCCAATCGACAGTCGTGGAGAAGTGTGCGTCAAACCACCAAAGCGCCCTCCGACGACCATGCGTACCCTGGGTGGCCCATTGGCAGAGCCCCTGGATAGGAGCATCGAAGCACCGGTCGTGCGTGCGTTCGTTTAACGAAGAGAGAATCCCTTCCTCTTTCCCTTCTCTTCGATGGGTCTCCCTGTTTCCAGACGACCCTTCTTTTCTTCTAGTTCCAGGCGTTGACGCTCCAATTGATCTTTCATCTCGCGGTGTCGTGCGTATAGTTCGTCTTCGCTCTGTTTCAACTTGCTCTCCTTCTCTGCCACCTTCTGCTGGAAGACCATCTTCATCTCCGCTTCCATCTTGGCGAGCTTCTGCTCGTGGAGAGCACGCTCCTCCTCCTGCTTGACAGCCGGGTTGACCTCCTTGAACACGCTCGGGTCCTGGGCGACACCCATCTGGGTGAGCTTGTCGGAACGGTAGTTCTCATACAAGCTGTTGTTCGTGTGCTCCTTGAGCTCTTCCATGTGGGTACGGATCAACATCTGACGGAGCTTGACAAAGTCGCAGTGCTCCTCGTTGTCGACCTCAATGACACCCCAAGGGTAGCTACGTCCACGGACCTTGCGGCCATCGGCGGCAGTGACCTCGGCGTTGGCACCAACCACGGCGAAGGGGACCTTGGACATGATCTCCTGGTTCTCAGCGATAGTCTCCTCATCGTCGAGCTCATAGCGGGGACCTTCGAAGATCTGGATGGAGTGGTGCTGGATATCGGCAAGGATCTGAATGGCCAGGTTAGCTATGGTTTGACAGGGAGGAGGCGTATAGATTATCGTACTCTTTGCTTGAAGGCGGCAATTTCCTCGTCCGTCAGGGTATCGGCCTTGGCGATCACAGGGATCAGGTTGACCTTGGTGTGCAACCGGCGCATGACCTCAATATCCAGAGGCTTCAGCGAGTGACCGGTGGGCTGGATGAAGTAGACACATGCGTGGATACGGTTGTCAATAATATTGGTACGGTTGACCTTGTTCTCGGCCTCAAGGTAGGCATCATATCTCTGTTCAATGTTCTCGACAATAGGGCGCCACGAGTCGTCGTTGTTCACAAAATCACCGAATCCAGGAGTGTCAACGACCGTCAGGCGCAGGCGCACGCCGTTCTCTTCGATATCGGCGCTGATGGACTGAATTGAGACCGTCTTGGGGATAATGTCGTGGCTAGGTCCGGTGCGTTCCTTAGGGGGGTAGAGGGAGGTGTTGAAGAGGGTGTTCACTAAAGTCGACTTTCCGAGTCCAGATTCACCTGCAATGCGTGTCAACTGACGCCCAACCCTGAGGCCGGAATCGAGACCTACCGACAACCATCACGTTGAAGTTGAAGCCCTTGCGAACACTCTTGCGGTGCCACTGATTCGGCAGGTTGGCGAAACCAACATAGCCTGTCAGCTTCCGGCGAACGACATTCTTCATATCCGTAGCCGCCTGAGCAGCAGCCTTGGGGTCTTTAGAGCTGACGGTCTGAGCAGCCCCGGAGCCCATAGGGTTGCTGCGTTCAACGAAAGGCGAGCTGGGCTTGCTGCTGGGGGGTGATGCAGAGACCGGGGTGCCATTGGCAGCAGGAGCAGGAGGGGGTGTGGCTACATTATGCGGAACAGAGTTAGCAGTCGTCGCTTCAGATTCTTGACTGTCACTTTCTGAAGACAGGCGCCCCAGCACCGGCGAGAACGAGTGACGTTTAGGCTTCGGTGAATTCTTCTGAGGTGAGGGTGCTAGAGTTTCGGAGTCCCCTTGCGAGCGACCATCCGCACTCCGGTTCCTGACAGGAGGCATTGTTCTTTCACAGGGCGCGAGGATTTCGAGGTAGGCACAGGGCAAGGGTTGGATTGGAAGATCGAATGGAAACGAGAGCACGGAACTGCAGGGTGGTGGGAAAAGGTGTCATAGATGACAGGCTTACCCATTGTGGAAGTTTAAAGGTGTAGGATTTTGAAGCGAGCGTAGAGGGAGGTAGCGAGCGTCGAAGAGGAAGTTTCCCCTGAAGAAGTTGCGCCTTCTTGGTTAGCGATAGAGTCCTTGCAGGATGCAATCAAGGGGAAGGAGCCGGAGGTAATAATGGAAGCCAGCGAGATGGGAATGACAATGCCACTTTCCAAGTCTGGGTGAGGAACAGCAGAAAAAGGGAAGGCGAGTCTAAGGGAAGGCGATAGCAATCCTACCTGGGGTACTGAATCAATGTGGAAAAGGGTTGAGGTTCAGTTAATCACGGGGGGGGGGGGGGGGAAGGGTGTGGGAGGAGTAAAAGGGATGGGACCGAAATCAAGGGGAGATTTGGGAAGCACGACTTGAAAGCAAGCAAGCAAGCAATGCGCCAACAAATTATGGCTGCGATGGAAATATCTAAAACAAAAACTAGGAGGAAGGCGAAGGAAAAAGAAAAGTGTAGATAGAAAGAGGGAAGAGAATAGTGTAGTAGTACTTACTGGAGAGACAGGGGAAGAAGAGGAGGACGGAGGTGGAGGACACAGAGTAGGAGGAGGAGCGAGAGCGATTGGGTCTTGCGGAGTTGATGGATTGGGGGGGGGGGGGGGGGGGAGGGATTGCAGTGTTTAGTCTCGGGTCGTTGGAGCCAGACTGTTTGGTGGCCCTGCCCGAGTGCAGTACAGTAAGTAAATGAGTGGAAAAGAAAGGGGGGAACTTCATTGCCTCTCTTTGTTTCTACTACATACTACAACACCTAGTTACTATGGGCCTTAGTCTAATCAACTTACTGCCTTTACCTACCTTATGGTCCAACTAAGACCACTCGGCCACTAACTAATACTCTTTCTTCATTGATTTCGATCACTTCGACTGCCCACTTTGCGCTCTAATCAGGTCTGGATGATTTAGGCTTCAACTGCCGATTAACAGTTCAAGTTTATTTTCTGGGGTTATCTTGCCTTATCAGAGCACAGTTGGGACTCACAATGAGGACAGTGTCTACTTCTTCTTAACCCCTTGGCAAATCGTTCACCAACCATCACAGGCAGGGCTCCTTGTTCCTCATCATCTCCACGAGACCTGTCAAATCAACACATTTCTCTTCCTTACGATGGAAGCATGGCTAGCATAACCGAACCTCAGGCAATTTGCAGAGAGAAGCCTTTTTACCCCAGGGTATACTATACCACACCTACCAAGGGACGAATCGTGGGGAAACCCGGAACCATTCCAACAAGCCGCGATAAATTGTTCCAAATGTAGACGAGTGGGTTGGAGCTGTACTTAGAAAGAGGAGAACTCCTCCTGAACTGACCCGTGCCATACTATATGCACTGTGCATCACCCGAGATAGGTCAACGCCAGCCATTGATTGAGTGCGAACCTCCTTCTTGCGTCAAGTTTGTTTGTTCCCTCTTGAACCTGTATGGTTGTGGTGTGATGGGTAAGATATATCATGCGGTGCTGATCGTAGAAGATTATCGGCCCATGGCCTCCTTTCCAACAACATCCGCTGGCATTCCATATAGTTTCAGCACCACAGAGACACTGCAGCTATTTCCTTTGAGGAGAGGCTGGACACAACTTATGCCACACCCACACCCACACCCACACACACACACCATACAGATTCATCTGGACTGGGCACACATATTTCCGGGTTCTCATCCGACGCGTAACCGCGTTACCACTTAGTACAATCATCCTGGGGGGTTGACTGGAAAGAAAAGCAGCTGCCGTGGAACGGAAAAACCCGATCCACCGCCCACCGAGAGGCCAAGCGTGGTTTATTCGCCAATCATCACTGACCGCTAACGGTCCGGGGACAAGCGTCAAGTCACACCATGGACGGGCTGCAACTGGAATATACCCGGTAAAGTTCGTTCCGATTTGAAACAAATAAACTATTCGGGCATCGGTTGAGGGGGAGTGACGATCGGTATATAAATAATAGATAGTACCTATACTGGAATCCCCTCAAATTCCCCAAGATTGAGAATGATGCGCACCACCCACCACCAAAAAAAGCATTCATTGACAGTATTCCATCAGATCCCCCGATCCCAAACAGAAATACAAACACTACCCACCTCGAATCCCCTAGTGGCGGTGATCTATAAATGGAAATATGCATGATGCATCTGCGATAAACCTGCATGGTCCTCTGTAGTCTAGAAAAAGAAAAAAAGTAAATTCAGTTTCTAGGAAAACCAAACTGCACGCCACCGTGGTCCATTACACAGCAAGGGGAAGCTAACTAGGTTTGCTATCGGAAGTAAAGTCTCACCTCCAGGCTTTTCCTCCCGCCCCCCCTCTTCGGCACTCTTGTACGACGACACACCTCCACCACAAACAGATGAGCATTTATTACCCATATTCGAATTAAATGCCTGCCAAGTTGGGATGGTGAATTCGGACTTATTCTCTTCGATCAACTGCAACTGCAAAAGAGCAATGGAATGTCCGACTTGGGGGAAGCAATCACTCTAGTTATAGGAGGCTGTTTTATCGTAGGACCAAAATGACCGTCCGTGCTAACCTTGAACCCATCTATACTGGGCTTTCCCACCTATGACCCGAAGCTCGATGCGCGGACCGGACGGTGCAGTGGCTTGATGAGGTTCTCACTGAGAGATTTTCCCGGATGCGGTTGGATGAGGAGAAATGGTTCGGCCGCTTATCTCGTGATCGCGACTGAGACACCCGGCTGGGTTTGTGCGAATCGTATCGCTCACGCCTTGGGTGTTGTGTGGAAGGCAAGCAGGTTGAAGGATAGAGCAACCTGGAAGGCTTTCCAGGACGGTACAGTACACTCCCGTTTGAGATACCATCGGCTGGAACTCGACGGGGCTCGAGGAATGTCGCTGAAGCAGCAGTTTGTATCCGCACACAATCGTATTCTCCTAATCGAGAACATGAAAGCCGACCTACTAGTATAGGGAGTATCCAAGCGATATATACACGCGCTATATGTATCTGCAACCGATGGGGATCATCAATAGCGTTGTCATTAGCAAAGTTAATTCGTAGCGATATGACATATCGGATTTCTGGAATCATCTTGGCGCGCCCACGAGTGTACTCTGAAGAGGCAGTCGGTGCAGAAGGTCAAACCAGACCATGGTTATGTCCATTCCACGGCATATCTCCGTGCTTACAATGTTGACATTGGTAAAGCAGGGTTTACATGTGGTTATAGTCGTCTACGTTGCATTACAACGAGTGAAGGGGGAAGTAGCACAAGGCTGAACGTTATTGATATCTTGTATTCATTATGCGCGGAGAAGTGCCCAGTTGCTGACGGCGCGTGGCCGTCACGATGAGGCGGTCTGATGATTTTCTTTTATTTGCCAACCTTCGACTTCTTCTTCGGCCGTTCGCCTTCTGACATCTCAACATCCTCATCATCATCCCCACCGTCGGATGCATCATCCATCTGCGCATCGCTGTCGCTGCCGCTGCTCTCGTGCGCAGAATCATATTCTTCCGCGACATCGGAGTCCGACTCGGCCTCGAAATCCTCATCGGGGGACTCATCGTCTTCGTCGGCCGAGCCACGGTCAGCGCCACCAGCATCATCGTCGCTGGAGCCCATGTCTTCGTTGTCAAGAGCCGCAGCAATAAGAGCGGAGGTCTGAAGAACCAAGTCAGTCCATAGTCAAGCAGGGAAGTTGGAATGCCACAAGGGATACGTACGTCATCGGACATCTCGTTCTTAAGGCGGATGTTCTTGGCCTTGAAAAACTCCTCAAGTGGTTGTTGCTCCTCACTGGAAAGCATTAGCTACCGTTCAACCAATAGGGGTTTGAATGGAGGCCCTACCGGTTGATGTTGCTGAATTGGTGCTCGCCCAAGCCAGCCTTCAAGCTGACTGTGATATCGAACGTTCTACTGGCTGAGATTGCACCGCCAACACGAGACATGGTGACCACGGCAACATTCTCGAGTTGAATATACGTGGCGGGCTTGGGAACGAAGATCAAGCTCTTATCCAAGAAGTACAAGAGGCCTTCGTTGGCCTTGATCGAGCACTTGACTCCGCTGTGACCGTGGTGACTGTGTGATGTGTCAGTGGCCGCAATGATACAACTTCAGCCGAATAGCCAACGAACCTGACGAAATCCTTCGATGGCATGATGACCTTCTTGCCCGAGAGCCCGCGGAAGATCTTGGTGACCACCTGGTGGATTGGCTCCTCGTAACGAGGTTCCAACTTGTCCTTGTAGCGTGTCTCCATGAGCTCACTAGAGATAATGTTAGGCAGTCGTCACAGGCATCTGGTGCTGATAAACCCACTCTGTCATATTGAGCTCCAAGCTGATCTCTTCATCAAGCTTCAACTGCATAACCAAGAAAGGGTAGCGAGTCTGACCCTGCCGTAGCGGAGGCTCCAGGCCCAGGACGATCAATGTGTGGGTATCATCGTTCTTCGGAAGCAAGAAGAACTTCTTGATAGAGGCGTATTGAATCTTGTAATCGTATGTCTTACCACGCAACCGGAAGGAGGACTCGTACATGTCGATATCGAAACGACCTCTGCAAGCTCTGTTAATCCCAGATTCACGCGATGCCTTGCAGGCGACACATACCTGGGCGTCAAGTGTAGCACATCCAAGAAAGTGGCAAAAGTGTCACCCGCCACGTCTCCGATCTCAGCCTTCTCCATCAGTGTCTCGTAGAACAGGTTCGCTGCATTCTGCTCCTCGCCCTCTTCTTGCTCGCCATCCGCATTCTCATCGTCCGCGTTCTCCTCCTTGATGCCCTTTTCCGTCTTCACTGCCGTTCCGGGAATGTAGAACCGCATCTCGACCAGCTCGTCCGGACCCGCGGCGGCTTTCCGACCGCGACTCTTTGTGCTGCCGCTGGGCTGCGCAGGCGCATTGCCATCGCCTCCGAGGGCGAACTCCACGGCGACCTCGTTCTTTCCCGCCAAATTCGTGTTCGAGATCTCGGAGTACGGAATCTCGAAGGCCGGTCGGTTCTGCACGTTGAAGGAGAGCTCTGCTTTCGTGAATTCCGCCTTGCCCCAGTTCCAGCCGCGGAGGGCGTGCTCTCTGTTATCCAAGTTGATGCCGTACCAGATCCTAAACGCTTTGCTCACACGTTCGAAGTCCTAAGCATAGCGGAGACCCGAGGTTAACAAGTGAACATGCAGTGAGGTTACAGGGAGCGGGTTCAAACAAAGCCCTGATCTCAGACCATACCTCTTGATCGAATCCATCCAGCTGGATGACTCCGGAGGAACGCGACAGGATTTTCAGCTCATATCCCTTCGCCGCACGGCTCCACTGGGCCGCGCCGATGTTGCTGCTGTCGAGCGTGAAGGTTTCACCTCCTCCGGAGGGCTTCCATCCCAGCCCGGATTCTGCGAGCTTGCACTTGCCGTGCTGTTTGGAGAGGTCGAGGTAGATGTTATCAAAGCTCTCCCTAGTGGCGGACGTTAATGAACTGGACGAGAAGAGCGAGCGAGCGGAGAGGGTCTCACATGGTGGAGGAGCCTTAGGTTATTGGCAATAAAGGGCGCGGACGAGTTCAGACGATAATTTTAAGAAAGCTAACGAAGATTTCAGGGTATGTGAGGTTCGTAAGGGTGTAGACTTTTGACTCAGTGACTGACGGTTGAAGGTGTTCCGATAAAGAGCTCCGATATCCTTTTTTCACGTCGCGTTGCGCGCCGCCGTGGTTCGTCCGTCTTACTACGCCAGGGGATCTTGGCGCTGGTGGCAAGCATTAATGCCTTAGGCATAAATGTGCTCGGTATCAGTGAGTCTGCGCCGTACATCCACGTAGCACAAAGGCACAGCACTAGGACTAGAGCAGGATGCGAGAATTAGCAAATACTGGTTAGTGTAAGTGAATAGGAGTATTGATAGATGGTATCTGTTTTTGGGTTATAGGAGCCAAGGAAATGATCGCGAGGTATGTGTTAGTACATGTGTATTGTCTATAAAAGAAGGCAAAAGCAATCCTCTATGTGCTTACCATTTGCTATGCAGCAGTTGTCGCATTGTGGATTAGTGGTTGGACGGTTAACTCCTCTATCTTGGTCGGCGTGAATATATTTCCAACCGCAAGATGTATACCTTCGGAATGTAGCCATTATCCTGTAAGCACATGCTTAGGTGCCTTACAACAAACCAATCCAGATATATTTAGTGAGCCTATAAATCAAACCATGTGTTGCGATCCCGGCCACTTCTAACGCTCCCCGAGACTGAAGTCTGTCCCACCACAGCCTGCAAATTTGTGTAAGGTCGCAGACGATCTGCCGCTCAGTCTATAATGCAGTAGCTGCGAGACGATGAGTCACTACAGCCAGAAACAAGTACAACAAGAGTGAAAGAGACATGCAACTCTTCAAGCATGAGAGGCGATTTCCCTATGCTGGGTCAGTCTAAAAGGAAACCTTGGTGCTTAGGATAGTGTCACAACAGTACAAGTCAAGAAATGAGATCTATTTTTTGGCGATAGGCGTTAGTTGTGCGATCAGATTCGAGCAAAGAGTCAAGTGCAATTTTCTCTACAAAAATACAGCGCAGCCACTGTTCTAGACTCTTGAGATGCGCCGCGAATATAATATAAACTGAGACACGGTAGCATGGCTAGATTATGTCCTGCTTAGCGCAGAACTGCATGTAAGTCTCATCGCTTCGCCGTCGGAATTAGTCAACGACGAAAGTTGGATCGCTTTGCTCTCTAAGAAGTACGATGAACGTGCAGGGCTAGCCAGCCAATTTATCCTAGGTCGAAGCCTTGAGCGCAAGGTTCAAACCATATTTGAAGCACGGGGCTGGATGGCGGGATCTCGAAAGCTTTATTGTAACAATTTCAATCTTAAAGGCTGGAGCTGATATCATCAGTGGTTGTCTGGCTGGAATTAGTTGACGCATGTTGCACTCTGTAACAGCTATGAGGAAGATCGAAATAAAGATGATGTGGCTGTAGATGTATCCTGTATGCTGTACGTTGATGTATGCTGCTGCATCCTTTTGTAGCCGTCAATGCTGGTGCATACTTCACCGCCAGTGAGAACTACCAGTAGATAAGAGACGTCTGAAAGCCTTGCAGGCTGGGTATAGTTGCTTTATTCTCTGGACGTATCCGAGAATGTCGACCTGTTGGCCCCTTGGGTTGTAAGCTGTTGGAATTATTAGCGAAGATCCCCTATTAATAGGTCATAACATACAAACATCAATATTTGTCCAGACCGTAAGGTGTCTCCTTGAATTGCGCCTGGCAGATTTGTAGGTTTATTGCCCACTCCTTAATTCTGCGAGCCATTGAAGGTGGTCTTGGGGCGTCGCTCGGAAAGAGCTGTGATGTTTGTTCTGTAGATACGGCGAGATATCACTGACTCTGAGTTAGTCTCCCCCCCCCCACCATGGGTGGACACACCAAACCAAACATAGCAATTAATCGCATAAGCAGTGGCTCATCTTTGAAGTGGCTGGCGAGTCAGCACCTCGCGGATCAACCGACTTACCGGCCGCCCCTCTCCAAATTACAGAGTGGAACCCGGACCGGGCGAGAAGATCAATAATAGTACTAGCTTAATGGTACCTGAAAACCATCGCAGAACAAACAACCAAAAAGCCCCTACCGGGCCTGCCCACACACTCAACTCACTAAACTCACTGCCTGCCCTGCCTGCCTGCCAGCCAGCCTGCCAGCTTGCCATGTCACTCTTTCGGTCCATCCAACTTTTATCACTCATTCGTTAATCCCTTTAGACCTGACCACTCATAGTCCGATTCGGCCTCTTGGCTATAGAACACATTCGTTTTTTCAACTCCCCTTTAAACTAAGTATCATTCTTTACATGCTGCTCTGCTGAGAGTCTTTCACTCCTTTTTCTGGCTCCCGCGTGTGTTTGTGCCGCACCCGAACAAGTCGGCCCTCTTCTCACCCAAGCTGTTTCCACCCATTCAATTCTTTTGACTCGTCCTGGAGCACGTTGATCTCTCCAGACGACTCTCTTCTTCTCCCTACCATTCTCTCCTTCCAAGAGAGTCACCTTCACAACTTGCCTGTCGTCGCGAACCCGAACAATGAGGGGATCCTCACTGTTTGGGCCTGCGACGGCTGGCTTCGCAGCAGGCCTCCGCCTTTCGCCATTACTCCTTTCTAAACTCGCGTCGGCCTTGACTTTCCAGTCCGTTTCTGAACCGGAGTTGGATCTTTCGCCATTGGGTCATATTGCGCTTACTGGAGACTTCGATGCACTGACATATTACCAATATACCGCGCAGACTAACACATCGACCGGAGACAATGACGCGCAAGCACTCTTGACCCCTCTTCCGAACGGAATCCTTACGACTCTATCGACCTCAAATGCGGGCATTCGCGCAATGTGCCCATTTACGCAGGAGGATGGAACGTTCTCAGGCATCTTTGTGGGAGGCAACTTCACCAGCCTCGGCGGGGTCAAATCGGAGGGTGTCGCGCTATATCATCCGTCTACGAATCAAGTCACATCGTTATCAGGTCTTTCGGGATCAGTCTCTGCCCTGCTGTGCGATCAAGAAACCAATAGCGTTTACGTCGGAGGAAACTTCACCTATTACAACACCTCAAACGCCGTGGCCTGGGTTGGCACCTCTGGCTGGTCCAATTTGACTTTTGGTGGATTCAATGGCCCGGTTTCGTCGATCTTGAAGGATAGCGATGGTAATATTGTCTTTGGTGGCTTCTTTGATGGCATCGGCAACTCTACGTCGAGCAAGAAGGGTGAACAGGTCATCAATCTTCAAAATGCCACAATCACTTCCGATGCAAATTCTACAACCAGTGGCTTTGTCGATCCCCGCAATATCGTTTGTCAGTCGAGTGGTGAGGATGGCGCAGGAAAGACATGGTTACTGGATGACTACTCACCTGGCTACTGGCGCGCCGATATGCAATTTGAATATACGCCTACCAAGCTCAGACTGTACAACACACACTACGAGGGACGGGGCACAAAGACGTTCCTATTCAGACGCCTGCCCGACAACGGAATCATGAACTTGACGTACACGGATCCGGATACGGGAAACGCTGCCTACTGCGACCAGAGTTGCTCGCTTTCCAGCAATGCGACTGAGAAATATCGTGAATTCACGTTTGTTAACCACGCCGCAATGAGTGGTTTCGAGATTGAGATCCTGGATTGGTATGGCAAAGGCGCCGGCTTGAATGGTATCGAACTTCTCGAAGACAGTGAGTGCAGATCTACCAAGGGAGCTATGGATAATGTACTGACAGAGAAAGACATCTTTGCTTACGCGATTAACGCTTTCAACGAGCCAACGTGCGCGAACTCCAGCTATCCATCAAAGTCAACACGTACCGGGTCTTGGTCTGCGACAGCTTCGGGTCAAAGCTCTTCGGCGTACTTGACGGCCGAAGTTACGAATTCGAACGCAACTGAAGCTTCGGTTGTCTTTGAGCCCGACGTCAAGCATTCAGGCAATTACTCGATCAAATTATATACGCCTGGGTGCGACCAGGACGATACTTGCAGTTCTCGCGGTATTGTCAATGTGACGGTCACTGCCTCAAGCGATTCTTCGGAACCCGTTCAAACTCTCATCTATCAGACGAATGAATACGAAAAATACGATACGATTTACACTGGTCATGTGGATGCAAGCGATAGCTCGTTTCGTCCGCGTGTGAAGCTCACCCCAGTAGCAAACCAAGGCGACATCACTGTGGTGGCATCTCGAGTTCAGTTTGTCGCAATCTCCGTGTCGGGCATTTCGGATGACCAGCTGAACGGCTTGTACGAGTACGACCCGACCACAAAGAAGGGCACAAACGTTTCCGTGTCGGCCATCGATCAAGCAGGTCTTGCTCTGGACTCAGAAGCATCAATAACCAGTCTAGCTAGCCATGGCAGTACTATCTACGTCGGAGGCAACTTCTCGAGTTCCAGCATCAACAATATCATGTACATCGAACAAGACGGAAATGCCACGGCAATGCCCAAAAGTGGTTTGAATTCCGGAGTCAACGCCTTGACGACACTGGACGATGTCCTCTATGTCGGTGGTAACTTTACCGATACATCCGACGGTGGAAATGAAGGCCTGAGCTATGTGGCAGCGTACTCGTTTGGCACTAAAGCATGGTCTGCTCTCGGAGGGGGCGTCAACGGTCGAGTGACCAGCGTCGTTGCTCTTTCGCTGAACATTTCTGCGGACCTCAACGAAACTGTTGTAGGCGTCAGCGGCGAGTTCGATCAGTTACTTAGCTTCGAACAAACGTCGTCCACAAATGTGTCTGGCTTTGCCGTCTGGGTGCCGTCGCGCAAGAATTGGTTATCAAACTTGAATGTCAGTCAGTTGGAGTTTGCTGGACAGCTGTGCGCTTACGCCAAGGTTGACAACACCACGATTCTTGCGGGTAGCCTCTCTACTGGTGGCCTTGCTGCTGCTGGTGCTGCTGCCCTTCTCTATGACGATGATCTTGGTCTTGAAGCACTGCTGACTGATCGCAACACAACCGGCGAAACATTCACTGGGATCTTTGACACAAGCTCTAGTCGGAATCGCACTATCCTTGGAGGTCACTTCTCCACAAACGCTACTAATGGATCGGTGATCGAGAACTTCGCCATTATCGACGGCCGCGATGGCAGTATCAGCGGGCTCGGAGCAGGTGTCGACAGCAACTCTACCTTCTTGACCTTTATGATTTCCGACGAAGTCCTCTACGCAGGAGGTAATATTACAGGGAAAGTGGGCAGTTCAACATTGAATGGGTTTGTCTTGTACAATCTCAACAATGACACGTTCGTCAAGAATCAGCCACCACGACTCACGGGCCATGGTGTGTCAGTCAACGCGATTGCTGCGCGGCCGAGCGCGAAGGAAGTATACTTCGGAGGACAGTTCCAGACTGCGGGAGCGCTTCCTTGTCCTGGTGTTTGTTTCTGGGACACCTCTGATCAGCAATGGAATCGACCGGGTGCCAGCTTGGATGGAACGGTTTTGGCCCTTGAATGGCTTAGCAACAAGCAGCTACTGGCGGTCGGCAACTTGAGTGTCAACGGAAATCAGACTGCGATCGCAACCTATAAACCCAAGGGTCAAACCTGGACTGCCTTTTCCGGCGCTTCTTCGTCGGAACTTCCAGGCACCGTCACAGCATTCACTCCTGCCAACAGCGCGGTGTCCAAGTTCTGGCTCGGTGGCACCTACAACAACGGATCTAGTTTCTTGGCCGCCTACGATGGGTCCAGCTTCCAGTATGTCCGCAACGCATTCGACAAGGGGACTACCATCCGTGGTCTTGAGATTCTTCCGCTTTCGAAGAACCATGATGCTGTTAGCACTCTCAATGATGATCAGACTCTCCTCGTCACCGGCCACCTGGTGATCCCGGATTTCGGCAATGCCTCGGCTGCCTTGTTCAATGGAACTACAACGATGCCTTTCATCCTGTCTACCAAGTCCAACGGCGAAGCAGGCAGCATGTCCCAAGTGTTCTTTGAGAATAAGAACCCGTACACCAGTGGAGGTGCGTATCAAGCGACCGGTTTATAAACATATCAATAAGCTAACAAGCGAAGCAGGCAAACACCTCTCCAACGGCATCGTTGTGCTCATCTCCTTCTGTCTTGCACTCGGGTGCGTTTTTCTGATTGTTATTTGCGGAGTCATCTTCAACAAGATCCAGCGCCGTCGCCAGGGCTACATGCGGGCTCCCCAGGCCGTGGGAACCGATCGACCATCCAACATGCGGAGACTCCCTCCAGAGTATCTTTTCAACTCGATCAAGCAGCCCAACCCAGCCGCCCCAACAATATGAGCTGACGCCTCTCGGCCGTATGCACTTTTCCCTGCACGATGTACCTTGTTTTGGTTTCCACGCCTACATAAACAGAACGATGCAGCAAGAACCTCGAAGAAACCAGTGCAAGCCAATTTCTCAACCTCGTTGCTCCGAAATCCGTGACCCCTGATTTTGAAACCTAGCCTTCAGCACGGCGTTCTTGGGACCCTAAAGATGAAAAAAGAACTTCACTACAGCACCATATACCCCAGTCTGATTCTACTAATTCTGATCCTTCCAGCTAACTCGTTAATGATTTGTCTATTTCTGCTGTCAATTGCCGCTGCGTATCTAATCCTTCCTCGATCGGAAGATGCCCATCTATCCTCCTCACATCATTTCATGCTACTCATGCTCTGCACAAAGCGCATCATCATCGTCGTTGCCACTATCACCTTTGAATTCTTGTGACATGTGGTTGCGGGCCGAGGCTTTGACTACGTTGAATACGATGGCCTCCTCCCTCCACACGTACCCCCAACCGAACCACGCCCTCGCCCTTGTTTATGTGTAATCATCCCTTCTTCTATTTTCTGTCTCTATTGACCATATCTCTCATTTTTTGTACTTTACTCTCCATGCTCGGTAGGGTGTGAATTTGGGATCTATCCAAATTCGCCCCACTCAATGCCTCAGCATGGCCAATTCTGTACATATCCTTGACATTTCTCTTATTATTTCATCCGCGCGAGTCCGCGGTTGCAATGAACAAATTCCACAAACCCGACTTCTCTTGAGAATTCACCTCGCAGATCCTTGGGTCTGAATTTTGTCTACACTTATCCTCTTCAACTAGAGTCAGCCGAAGAAAAAGGGAAAGAAATATCTTGCCTTGTAAAGGTAGCCAGCCCCCAGTGTAGTGTAGTGGCAAAAACCAGATACAGGGTGAGGTCATTTGGGATTTGGTATTCGGGGATTGGGTGGCTTGGAATCCTGCGCACGGGGCGGATGGGGGATGCTGCCGCAGGTGCTGCGTGGCTAAGCTACTTACCTACCCTATAAGTTAGTAACTAAAGTGGGCAGTGACGGGGGCCCAGAGAAATAGAGGAACATACGATTCGTTTCGACATACCCGCCGCGTATACTTTCACATCCTTGAAGCGACGTCAGTGGTGGTGATGAGGACTCCCCAGAAAAAGAAAAACAGAAAGAGAGAAGTATAGGTACCTACTCCGAAGTACTCCGTAGTGTTTGGAGTAAACTGAAAAAGTGGACGTGATGGCATGTTATGTTTCGTCGAGTCTACACGATGGAGTTGTCTTAGTCACCGGGACAAAAGGTCACGCGGGGAGAAAATTGGGTTCCCCGCAACGCTGCTTGCTGTTGGAAGTTTGGAACTACAGAAAACTACAGAACTACACAACTGCCACTGGCAAAAGTCTCGGGCGTGTCGGTTCTCCCCGCTTGCTTGCCTTGGGGGATTGACTGATCGCTAACTAACCTAACTGAACTTATTGATCGATGGCTCATGACTCTCTGACCCCCCGACTATCTGCTCTTTTCCCCGACGGGACCTTCTGTTCCCTCGCCTTTTCCTTTTGCTTTTTCCCTCTCTCCACCCGAGATTAGACGGATGGAAAAGTCCAGACCTACCGAATGAAGGAGGAACTGATCTGATCTGATCTGATCTGGCCTGACCGTCTCTTTCTTTTGCCTCGTGGCTTTGACTATCGAGCTGTGTGTGTGTGTGCATCCCTTGACCACCACACACCTTCTTCTCCCCCTGCCTGCCTGCTGCTTGCTTACCTCCGCCTCGCGCCGCCTGCCCTTTCCCTTCCCCTTCATTTTCTCTCTCCCTCTTCTCCTCCTTTTTCCTCCCCCCCCCTCCTCTCCCCTCCTCTTCTTTCTCCCCCAGATATACATTCGGTCTCCTCCGCGGTCCTTCGGACCTAGACTGTTCTAGCTCGCTTCGGGGCTAGTCCCACTCGCCCTGTATCCGATTTCCTGCACTTTCCCACCACAGTCGCGACCTTCTTCCAATCTTCTCTTCCTCGGCCCACCTTGTTTTTCTCGAATGCTGCAGCTCAACAACCGTCTTCGCTTCCATTCGGCATGCGATCCCGCACAGGCTGGTATGTGATCCATTTTCATCACACTGCACCTTGCACGCCCAAAACACCATTGGTTCTACCCTTCACTACTATTATATATATATTTGCTCTTCTATCGGCTAGATTCAGGATTGTTAGACTAACTGCGACGGGGGGTTTTTTCTCTTCTTCAGCTTAACGTGTCGCACTCGGAAACTCAAATGTAAGCTCACATCACGCCAAGGCGATTCCATCTTCTGGCGCAAATACTAAGAGCTTTCCGATAATCAGGCGACGAGCAGAAACCGGAGTGCTCGCAATGTCGCAAAGGTGCGAGGGAGTGTCGCCCTAGCGAAGGGATCGTTTTCCGCCACCAGCAGAATGCCTCCATGAACAAAAGCGCCGAAGAAAATCCCAATGGTCGAGGTAGCCTAAAAGGCTTTTATTCATACAAGAACACGTTTGATGAGGACAGTGTCTGGCTGGATATCCCGAAGCATGGTAAGAGAACCATGCGGAACAGAGAGGGACCGCTTTGCGCCTAGCAACAACTTGTCTGATGGTTATTGTTTTCTAGTCATTTTCGTCGATAATTCCGATCCTTATGCTGAAGACCTCGAAGCGGCCCTAGGCGAGTCTGAAGCCGCTATCCTAGCAGCGAACTCTCAGAATCGCGCCTGGTCGCAGCGCACGCCGTCCGCCGATGCCGAAAACAACGGCCTGGAAGCTCTCTCCACTTTGGCAGCCCATGACCGCCTGTCGTATAATCCGTTGAGCGTCGAGCAACAGTCCCTCCTAGCCGTTGATGCTGCCTCTCCTTATACCACTCTATCGGCTACAGCATCGTCTGGTCCGTCGCCCATTCAGTTGCGCAGTGTGCTAGCCCCTCAGCTGTCGCCTCCTCTTTCAATCACCTCCAATCATACCAACAGTAATAATAATATCAACTTCCTCCTTAATCCATCACAAGCTCGTTCGCCGCCTGTGGATTCCAACATGCATCATGCCCTGGAGCGTAGGAGCTCTTCATTGACCGCCAGGTCAGCAGTGTCACGAGGCTCAAATACGGAACACAAGTCACATATGCCTGCCGAGACAGACAGGGAGGTCGCACTCTTGTTGCGACATTTTTCAGAAGTACCAGGACTCTGGTAGGTGTCCGAAAATTCTTGTTACACCGGAAAGAAGAACATACTGATAATGCACAGGATGGACCTTTTTGATGTTGGAACTTACTTTGCCTCTTATATCCCTGTGAGGGCGCTCCGGAATCCTCTTCTGAAATATGCTGCATGCGCATATGCAGCGAAACAGCTCGGGCGAGTCAAGGTAGAACAGGTGCCGACAAGTGGAACTTATCTCAAGCAAAGCGCGAGCCACGTAGACTGGTCCTGGAGAGGTGCGAAGTATTATGAGAAAGCTATCCAGCTCCTCATGAAGGAGCTTCAACCGGATAAAGGTCCCCCACCTTTGAGTACCCCAGAGGCCTTCGGTCAATGGCAGGCTGCTGAATTATGCGAGGAGAGTGACAACCCTCGCAAACGCCGGCGCCGGTATTCTGAGAGTCGGTTTTCGAAGGGCGTGCACTCGGACGAGATCCTCGCCGCGACGGCCATATTATCTGTATATGAATTGCTCGATGCTACTGGTCCGGCGTGGAACCGTCATTTGAGTGGCGTAAAATCGTTGTTAGATGTGGCCGAAGTGGGGATGATGCCGGTCGAACAGCGCCCTGAATCTGTGTTACAACACAGCAAAAGGCCTGGTCTGTCGACGGCGCGGAGAGCAACATTCTGGAATTTTGCCCGACAAGATTATCTGGCTGCCTGTAAGTCAGTCCCTCAAGTAGCTTCAGGCTCCAACTTGCAGACCACTAATCTCTGTTCTGCAAATAGTCATCAATGAGAGCCAGACGAGGTTGAATACCGATGACTTGGTTCTGTGGACGGAAGCAGGCTTGCAGATCGACAGTCAGGGCTTTGTCCGATCGAGCAACACAAACGCCTCCGGCTATCTCGACGGAGACGACGTGATCAAAGAGGACATGATTTGCAACGGCCTGGTTTGGATCCTGTCTAAGATCGTCAATTTCATAAGTGCCGGTGACAAAGTGCAAGTGAATCATCCCAGCTCACTGAACACTGGACCTTTAGGCTTGTCGCAACAGGCGCTGTTGGAGCGATGGATACGACTTGAGGCCGAGCTCGATGCATGGTACAACGGGCTACCAGATATCTTCCAGCCTTGTGCCAGGACCGAGCCATTAGCAAAAGACGGTGAAAAGGCGGACACTGGAGCATTGTCTGAAATCTGGTACAGCATCTCCATGTGCTCGTCAGCTATGCAGCATTATCACATGGCACGGATTCTGCTCCTGATAAACAAGCCACACGCGTCGACTAGCCGCCGAAGCACCATCACGGATAGACTCAACTCATATCGATCCATTGAAAATGACATACGTTTTCATAGCCGGGAGATTGTGGGCATTGCCATGGCCTGCCCGACTGGCTCAGTCCGCATCAATTCACTCCAGCCGTTGTTCGTTAGCGGTCAGTGTCTCATTGATGCTGCTGAAAGACGCGCAGTCCTGCACCTCTTGCAGGGAATAGAAACCGAGCTTGGCTGGGCAACCGACTATCGTGTGAATCAACTGCTCCGAGAATGGGGCTGGCAGGACAACGAGGAAGCGGCTATGCCATCCTAGACGACAAGAGGTCAAGCCTCTGGCGTCTTACGAGGCCCATTCGCCCCGGGTCATGTATATATGTCCACTAACGCCTGAAGCTCCTGTGAAAGGGGTGAAGTGGCATTGCATCACGTTCTTGACGATTCTCTTGTTCAGTACTTCTTGCATAATTGTTTAGCTGTGTTTTCGAGCGACCTTGATTTTCTCGAAGTGATACCAGCGTGTTTCGGTTGATGATATCATAGCATTTGCATACACACGTCGCATTCATGATAGATGGTCACGAAAGGAGTCAGGAGGAATCCTGTTGTTGATGAAGCATTTAGTTGTTACTTGTTAAAATATAATTGCGCATAATGGAAGGATCCAAAAGAGTTTTCGCTTCAGCATCTGGAGTCAGTGAAAAGTTTGTAGGTGTAGCAAGAGGTCGGAAAACAACTCAGTCCTCGAGGAACATAGTCCGGTGAGAGATCCGAGGGAAAAGAATGTAGCGAAGAGAGCGGCAGAACCGCCAGAAACAGAATCGAAAAGATGAGTTGAAAAAGCAGCGCAGATTTATACCGCAAGCCTGCAGGATAGACTTGAGGGGGTTGAAGAAGAAACTCGAGGAGTGAGTTTGAAGATCAGAGGAGGAGGAGGGGGGGGGGGGGGAGAAAAGAGGAGGGGATTTTCATCAGAACTGGTTCTTCCCCAGTTTTTCCTCATAGTTACTCCCTCCTAGACCTCTCGGCTGAGTTGCCTGCCACTTCCGAATCGGGAAAGCCTACACACACCCGGACGGATTGGAAAATGCACGTGCCTTTTGCGGCCCGGGGCAGTTTGCCCAGTTGATGCTTCGGTGGGAGAGCCTGGGAGGAGGAAAGAGGCTTGTTTGCGCCCTGACGCTGGGCCCTTGGCTTGCGGGAGGGTCTCGGGGTCTTAGCCTTTTTGATATGGGAGCTCTGCAGTGCAGGGCCGGTTTACCTCGTTAATAATGAGCAGCTGGATGGATGGTGGATGGATATGGCTGTAGACACTAATTACCATCTGATTCTTGCTTGCTCATTCAGTCTTCTTGTTTTGTTCTTCTTGTCCGGTTTATTTTTATTTTTTTCTATTTTTTTGCTATGATGAAAGACGGATGATCGTCGACGGTCCCAATGGCAACAATGGCAACTTTACTAAATTTCTCCCCGAGTTCAGTTTCCGCTCACTGCACTAAAGATGGAAAGGAAGTGCGGAAGGTTAGGCGACCAATCCGCGTCGGCGTTCGGGCCGAGTACTGACTCTTAGTGCCTTAGTGCTAACCGTAAGTTACTGCACCCGGGTGACTACTGGTAGGCATAGATAGTCAGCTTGCGGTCCTTGGCTCTCCACCCCTAGGCCTTTTTCTTGTCGCTTTTACCCTATCCTACCTTGCTCATCATTTGGTACAGTACTTCGTACTACAGCTACAAATACTCACTCGGGGGAGCGAATGATGGATATTTGGTCAAAGTCTCTGAGGTGGGTTTAATTCCCCCCCCCCTTCTCCCCGGCCCGCGTCTTTCTTTCTGGAGCTAGCTCTATATACATTCTAAGTTCTGCATTCTGCTTTGTTGATCGCGTTGTACACTTGTGCTTGCTCAAAGCTTAATAACAGAATCACTTTTTTCTTCTGTTACATATTACAGTTTGTGAAGGAGCCGGGCGGTAGAAGTATGTGCTGCACTGTCCCGCTCAGACCACCACCTCACTGACCTTGAATCCACCGGGGACCTGGGTCTGGAAGACGCCGTGGGGGTCATACTTCTTGGCCACCTGGGCGATGAACTGGACGTTCTCCTCGCCGTACCCGCTCAGCGGGCTCTGGGACTGGTCCGCGTAGTTGAGGTAGATGTACTCGTTGGCCGCGCCGATCGACTGGGCGTAGGCGTCGAGGTCGGTCAGCGCGGCGCGGCCCAGGCGCATGAAGAGCGCGTCGTCTCTTGCGTCGTCCCAGGAGTAGTCGTAGAGGACCTCTGCTCGATTTCTCTTTTAGTAATTTGTGGAGGGTCTTTTGGTGGGGGCTCGGACTTGGGGGATTAGGGGAGGGGTTGCTTACGGACGAGGTTCTCATCGAACCGCTCCAGACCAAGTACGTTGCCGCCCTGGGCCGCGGTGTGCTCCCAGAACAGCTTCGGCCAGGGCTGGACGATGGTGTCCATAGACCAGGACTCGCTTTGGGCCTCGGCCTTGGCCTTCTCGATGTTCTCGTTGTGCAGCGCGATGGCCTTGCGGAGGACCTCGGCGTCGTTGCGGTAGGTGCCGGTTGTGAAGATATCGCTGGATTCTGTCAGAAACACGTTTTATTTGTGACTGGGGAAGAGGAGGGGGGGGAAGCTTACCGATATCCCTCCGCCTGGACCAGTTCTTGGGTGAGGTTGTAGATGGTGGCGAATCGCATCGTGTCGGTCGTGTTCTTGATGGCAACAAACTCGTCGAATGCAGCCGGATACGCGACGGGCTTCGTGTATTCCAGCGCATCGGCGATGATGTTCTGTCCCGTCGTCGAGCTGTACTCCCACATACCGATCCACGACGCGTAGGGGTCGTTGTGGATGTTGTCTACGAAGTTCACGGCGGCGGAGATCTGCTGCTCGGTCGTGGAGTTGTCGTACACCACCAAGCCGCCCCACAGTCCATCGTGAGGAAGGGTCTTGAGGTCGTACTTGGTGACGATGCCGAAGTTGATCGACCCGCCCTTCAGGGCCTTGTACAAATCAGGGTTGCTCGTTCGGTTGGCATCGACGATTGAGCCGTTCGCGAGAACTACCTCGAAGTTCTCGACGTTGTCGCATGCGAAGCCCACGCGCGCCGTGTAGAAGGTGTTTCCACCTTTGGATGTGAAGTTAGATGTGGCTTGCTAGATGGGTGTGGGTGGGTAGCTTGCATGTACATACCTCCGATCAGGAATCCACCGACGCCCACGGGTCCGCCACGGCCACCGGGCACGGTCACTCCGTAAGGATCAAGGGCCTTGTATACTGCCTGCCACCGTGAGCCGGGCAGGATGGATGCCAGGCCCTTGTCTGCATGGTATGTCGTGCTGTTCATCATCGAGAGGTCAATGGTGACACCCTGCTCGATGTCTGCTGCACCGGCCCACGTAGTGTGGCCGCCACTGCGCACTGCAAACTTGCATTGCGACTCACCTGCCTGCACCAGAGTCGAGACGGCAAGCGAAACATCATCTGCGGTGTGTGGCTGGACAATGCACGAGGGGCGTAGCTGAGCATTCACAGCGAAATAAGATGTCACGGACTCATTGTAGGCCACACTGTTGGGGAAGGTAACATGGTCCCGGAGGGAGGTGGCTTGAAGTGCGGAACACTGGGAAACCTGAGCATTAGCTGTGCTTGCGCTTTGATGTACCAATTGCTAGACAACTCACGCAGGCGGTGGAATTTGACCCAGAGGCTTCAGGCAAGAAGCCGAGGAGGGGTGCTAATGCGGTAGAGGCCTTCATTGTGAATCTCGGTTGGCAGACGCTTGACGATTCTCGCCATCGCTCTCTAAGCGGCTCACTGCTTCTTATAGTTGAACCCAAGCCTGCCGGCTATTGTTCGGCTGCGAAAGCAATTGGCTTCCATGGTCATTTGAGGAGCTACTCCGAGCAAGCATCTATTCTGTATGAGGTCGAGTGGTACGATGCTAGGACTAGCCACGACGAGGTATGCGCTAAGGTTTGATTGCAATTTCATTGTGCGGAGCACGAAGGTAAGGTACTCTGTAGGCCAGGAGCACTCCCGATCAGTGCTTGTAGTAACATGCCGATCCATGCAAGCCGCCAATAGTAGGTAGATGGATGGAGCAGGAATGGTGCACGAAAGACTGAGCAGGCAGCAGAGTCGGTGGAGCCTCTTGGATAACATGCGGGATTTCTTGCCCAAGCGAGAGATCATTAATTTGTGAGAGCTTTGGTTGAAAGACCGAACATCCCGGCCTGGTTGTCAGGCCTGATGGGAGACTGTGCCAGAAAGTCTGATCTCGCAATTCGCAACAATGGATGGCTGGCTTGTGGTCTCTCAATCCGCGGGCCGCCTGTCCGTAAGCCCCCAAGTGGGACTCCCGGGGTGGCTTTAGTGGGCACTGGCTCCTCGGATGGAATACCGCAATAAGCTTGTGAATTGGTTTCGAATGTGGGGTTGAAAGCGGAGGCAACGTAAAGCAACAAGGAATGGGCCAGGAGAGCGAAGGGCTAATGTGACCGGTCACAACTGGGAGGAGGCACAGGGAGGTGTCGTCCAGCCCCGGTCACGGTTATTGGTATCAATCTGCTCAGTATGATGCCAGCCCGATGATGCGAAGACAGTGTCTTGAAGGTTGTCTCATTGTTAGATGACAAGGTGATCTGGTTAAAGACATGACATTAGCTTTGACTTCTTTCAATGTGCGGAATCGGGAATAATACTCCAGAGAGAAACGGGGATTTAGCCTCGGGGATCTTTCTCTCAACAATAAAGGACACAAATGAATGTGTAGAAGCGATGAAGTAAGAGAAAAAGGCGAGACATCTCCTAAGTCTCCTAAATGTCGAGATCCCTGTCTGGTGTCATGGACTAAAAGAGACTATGGCCGCTAAGCGGGATCGTCCATCAACGGCGGCTCGTGCTGTCTCCAGATCCGCTCCACCTCCATCTATTCTGGCGCCATATGATCCTAGCACCAGGGTGGAGCTTGTCTCGATCTAAGGCTCCCCCTGTGTCTGTTGCCCTAGACGAGCTACGGTCATTAGTCGGTCGCTCAGGAATACCCGGAAGACTCGATTTCGGACCTGCTTCAAAGCCCGATCATATCCCTGGCCAACTAAATCCTTAGATCTGCATTCGCAATGAAAGGAGCGACTAGTCGCAGGTTCAAGGATTCGAAGCAACGCGTTCCTTTTTCCCGGTCTCGAGACTTATACCATTTATCCAGGCTGTGCCACCATGACAGGCTGGAAACGTGCTCGGTTTTGAGGCAATGTCCATCGTCCCACAGTGTCAGCAATTCGGAGAACAGCATGACACCGAGTAGTGAATGATAGCCGGGATCTGTCCAACATACGCAGTATGGCCAATGTCACAGCGGCTGAGCCTCCGCCAGGACAGACGTACGACTTCGACTACTCCAATCCTCACTTATACAGGGCCAATGTGGCGATTATCGCCGTCGGTCTGACCCTGAGTACAAGCTGTCTCGCTGTGCGAGTATTTACCAAGGCACAGTTGCTGCACAAGTTCGGATGGGACGACGGTATGTCTTGGTGGTGAGCCGAGTGGGTTGGATGGAGACTGACTATAAACAGGATCGATCATTCTGGCCTGGGTAGGCAAACGCATCACAATGCAAAGCAATGCCTTCTGCTAATCTGGCACCAAATACAGCTGTTCGCCTTAGGAACTCAGGCATGCTCACTTTGTACGTCTTCCATCGTACCGACCCAGTGTCCGTCCCTCTCTAATCAACAATCTCTTTCCACAGACGGCTACCGTCACGGAGGCATGGGCCTTCACATCTGGAATCTTTCTCCAGCAATATATGAATCATACATCAAGGTTACTATTCACCCCTCTATGGACCCCCACAGCTATCTCATACCACCACGCAGGTCGTCCTCACAGCAGCCATCATCTACGTCCCAGCGCTTGCACTCGCTAAGATAAGCCTGATCATTCTTTACTACCGCATCCTATGTCAAGAACGCTACCAGCAATGGGCGTTATCCACTCTCGCTTTCATCGTCAGCAGCTACAGCGTAGCCCTGATCTTCGCATTCATTTTCGGCTGCCACCCCATCCAGAAGGCATGGAGTCCAGGACTCACGGGCTACTGCATCGACCAGTACGCACTTTACGTCGCCACCGCAGTGTTGAATATCATCACAGACGTTGCATTGATTCTATTTCCAGTCCCCACAGTCATAGGTTTGAACATGCCAACGATACAGAAGATAGGGTTGCTCTTCATGTTCATGGTTGGTTGCGCGTGAGTCATTTCACTGATGCCATTTCCTAGGTTTTGAGAGACGACAAACTGACCCAATTGGCAGAACCTTGGTGACCGGGGTCATTCGTTTGATAACCCTTATCCCTTTCCTAAACTCTAGCGATCCGACCTATAGCATCGGCTGGCCGGACTTGTGGATGTAAGCTCAATCCCTCCCACGGTGTCTTGACCAAGTCGGATCCATCGCTTACCTCCCAGCAATATATAGTAATATCGAAGCCAACTTCATCATCATCTGCCCCTGCTTACCGTTCATCCGTCATCTCCTCCGTCGTTATGCGCCCCGCCTGATCGGCGAGCATAGCAGTCTCGCGCGTCGCTACATGCAGAACTACACCTACAATTATACCCGGGAAAGCACGCGGGCACGACGGAAAGAAGGACTCACCCAGTTGCAGGACGAGATCGAACTCGCCGAGAACGGCAACGTGCGGATCGTGAAAGAGATCCAGTGGGAGATCACGACGGAGGTGACGACTGCTGTTCACGGGCATGAATCCGAGGGGGAGATGAACCGGCATAGTGCCCTCTTCGGGGGAGACTAGTAGGAAGCTCGCTCTGTATATACGACCTTCTGGAAGAAATAAAGAATCATGTCGAACTTCTGCTCACAGACAGAACCAAGGCTCAAAAGAACAAGAGAATGAACCAGAAAAAAACCAGCATAAATGCCCCAAGCAATGCTCAAGCCAGGGAGCAATCACCAACCCAGCCCTAGACAGCCCGGTACATCTTCGACAATTTGTCCAACCGGCTTCTCGCTTGCCGCAGCTCTTTCGCGCAGACCCGGTGATGGTCCTTGGCCTTCCGGAACGCCTTTTCGGCAGCCACGAAAGCCGCCTTCGCCGCCTCGGCCGCGGTTTGGCACGACTTCAGCCGCCCTTTCTCTTCCTCGATATCGATGGACAGCTCGGCGCGCCGCAGCTTCTGGCCCGGGGTGAGGTTGTGCGGTTCTTTTTCCTCGTCGTCGTCCTCATCTTCATTTTCTGTCTTCTTTCCCTGGTGTTGCTGCCGCTGCCGCTGCTCCTGGAACAGATCGTTCGGCACGTTGTAGCCACGGTCTAGAAGCTCTTCGCGCATCTAAGTTTTTTTTCTTCGTCAGTGTCGATCTCAGGGCCTTCCATACCAGGGCAAGGTGATTATCAAACTTACCTTGAGGCGCTCGCCGGCTCTGATCAACTCCGTCGCCGTAGCCGGGTGCGTAAGCACAGCCGGACTCAGGTCCTGGGGGAAACCGATATATCAGCATTCTGCAGAGAGTCTCACTGCCGGCTGGGTGTTTGTTCCATACCTTGGTCTTCTGTTTTGAAGGGCTGGCTGCGGACAGGGGCTGAGACCAGGGTGGAGGTGTAAAAGGTACCGATACGGTAGGGTGAAGAGCCACTGGCTGGGGGGCAGTAGTCTTAGTCGTAGCAGGCGGAGGAACTGCAGACTGAGACGGAGCGAGGGGGGCATAGGAGCTCTGGTGGCTATGGCTATTTTCTGTCTTCATTTCCCGGTTCACTATGCGGAAAGAAGGAGAACGAAGCTGGCGTTTGCGTTGGGGGTGCGACGAGTTCCACCCAGATGGTTTCTGGACTCGGTCGGTGAAGGCCCGAGTCCGGAGCCGGAGGACTTGGGGGGTTTCTTCTGCTGGATGTGTTAGCGTGCGTTGGTCTTGGTCTTGGTTGGGATGATGGGTTTGGCTGTTGAGGCTCGAGGTGGTTGCCGGACTAGGTGTGTGCTTACGCTGTCTGGGGACATAGGGATCGAGTATTAGTTCATTTTCCTACTTGGTGCAGCAAGAGGGGGACTTACTGGAGTGTGTCATGACGTTTGAAATGTTGACGATGCAGCGGGGTCCGGGTTGGAGAGGTGGTGATGGAAAGGATGGTGATGGGGGTGAGAGACTCGAGATGTGGAAGGTAAGGTCTAGCTGGATCCATGGTTGTAGGCAGTTTTGTCCTTCACAAGGAGTTGCTTGAAACATACGTGTTATTCACCTTCTAGGCAGCGGTCTGTTTACACTTATCCCCAGCCTCAGTGAACAACGTGCCTGATCATGTTTTACAATGAAATGTCTCAATTCACTGCCGTGCGGATACTACTACCGCTCACTTACAACAGTAGGATTTCAGGTTCGGTGAAGTCAATAGAGTCTCGAAGCTCATTGGGAATCTGAGCACAACTTACTGCCAGCCTACACGAGAATATACCCCTACCTTCCAGCCAGAAAGTAAAACAGATATAAACGCAAGACCTCATCATCCCAGAGATGTACGTTAACCAAAACCACTCAGTCCAGTACACTTAGACAGCAACATATTCCATTTCTAGATGAATCTCATAGTGTAAAAGCCACAGATCCAGCCAACATGCAAAGCATCCAGACCACCCAACAACACCAGCAATAGAGGAACCCGGGCCACCACCCCTGATAAATGCCATGATCTCCGGGTAAACACCACACTAGAGCTTGGGAAGTCCAGGGCCCGTTCTCTGCCGCACCTCTATTTCACGACAAACGTGCGCCAGGAGATTTCTGAAGCTGTGCATTTCCTCAAGATCGGTCCTGCTGCGATGTCCGCGTGCCCAATCAGCTTCAAGATCGGACAGCATGGCCTCGACGACTGCCTTGAGTTCGATGAGCCTGCGTGCCTCATCAATATCCAGCACTGCTGATCTAGCTATACTTTCTAAATGGAGCACTTACTGAAGAATCATGAAGGGGTTACGGCGGGGTGGCATCTTGGGGTACAGGATTCAGGGTATCAGATTCGGTGGGGGCGGTTCTGAAGTTCTTGGTCTAGGTTTATAAGTTAGACAGCCTGTGTGTGAAGTTTTCAAGACAAATCTGGATGAGGTTCACCCTGTATTCAGGGCATAGGATCAAGTGACAGGTTGAGGTAAACTGTACTCACTAGTAGAAGTGGTTAGTTTTGTGTCTCACACCATACAGTAAGAGAGACGCTTACCTATGAAGGTGACGATGAAAAAGACGATGATCGTTGTGACGGCAATCACAATTAGCATCATGGTAGGAACATAGATGGGGTATGAAGTAAAAGAGAAGGAAGGGAAAGAGGAGAAGAAGAGGAAGAGGGAGAAGAGAAGGAGGCAGATGTGGGCTGGGCTGGCTTCAGCTACATACGATGCAAACTGGCTCTCGTTCACCTCTGGCTGCCTATTACCCATTTCGAGAGACATGGCTACTACTTCGAGGTCTACTTCAAAGACGAGCTGGCTCTTTGCTATCGAAGCGAAGCTTGTCGTTCCTCAATCACCAATGTGTCTTTATATCCATCATCGTGTCGCAGGTTCTATCTATGTAGATGTAGATATGCTTTCTCCTCACCCCTCTATGTCAATATCTTCACTTTTCGCTCAAGACTATCTGGTTCACAGCTAGGATATTGTCTGTGCATATACACAAGCTACTAGAGGCAGCATAGCCCACCATCTGGCAGGAAGTAAAGCCTAGAGCATCGAGAACGACCCTGACAGAAGTTTCGTCTATTCGACTTAACATGACCTTGCAGTGTGAATGACTACAACCACTCTCGACGTACATGTCCAAAATTCCTTTGAACAAAAGTGGAAGAAAATCTTAGTCTCGTCAGCAATTTACACTCCCCTGCCACGCCTGTTGGTCAGCTACCGCAACCCATCACTGGTATCAATGATGCCTTTTCATCCGGACAACACTATGTCATACGCGGACTGCATATACAGGGGCAAGCTGCTCAGTCAAAACAGGGCAACCGCTACCCATCCTCCTACCTTCCACCATCTCCCCAAGTACTAACACTGCCTGACAGCTAGTCATCCCGATACCACCACAAGATATACTACAACCAATACCACCAACGTTGCAACTCCCCTCCCACACACGGAACACCCATCCAACCCCCAACAACCAAACCAATACCATCATTATGTCTAACCCCAACTACAGCAATTACTACGCCCAACCCCAATCCAATTACTACAGCCAGCAACCCAGCGCCTCCGACCCGCAAAACCATGCAGGATATAATTTCCCAGGACAGAGCCAACCTGACCAGCAATACCAGCAACAGCCCGCAGTAAGTAGCCAAACCCCCATAGCACGCACACCAAAAAAAGACAGCCCAGTATGCTGAACCCCCTGATCCAGCATACCTACACCCCGCAATCCAACCCCCCTTACCCCAATAACAACTCCCCATACATCCACCGAGCAAATATCCCTCTCACCATGACCGGAGGCCAAGTAACCGCCTACTCCGAGCCCAACACGCCCTACACAGAGTATCGGGACAACAACGCACCGTATACCCATCCCTCGCAACCCCAATTGCAAATGCTCCAAGGCGAAAGCGCTTCGTATTACGCTCCGCAGGGGTGTCCACCCCCCCCTCCTCCTCCTCCTCCTCCACCACCACCAGCCCCTTCAAACCCCTCAGCTGCAGGCCCAGCCCCAACAACCGAAAAAGGACTAGCAAGCACCGTCACCGGTGCAGCAGCCGGTGGGATTCTGGGCCGCAAGTTCGGGGGTGGGTTTCTCGGCACGGCGGGAGGGGCGTTGGCCGGGGCGGCGGGGATGAAGTTCGCGAGTAAGATGTAGGTTCTTATCTCTATCCCTCTCTGAGGATCTGGGGATCGGCCTCGGGCGTACGCTGACACTTCTCTGCAGACGCAAAAGGATGAAGACGAAGAAGCACCGTCGCGGTGGGCGGCATCGAAGCTGCTCGGAGTCGAGTTCGTCGAGCTCGTCGAGCTCGAGTTCGAGTTCGAGTTCTAGCTCGTCGAATGGTAGTGATTAGTTCACCGAGACTGGTATAGAGGTATCGAGGTGGCTCGTGGGTGGAGGGAGATTGGGTACCGGGGAGCGGGTATGTTCTTGAGGCCCAGTCGAGGTAGAGGAACTTCTATTGATATCGGTATTCCGTTTTTCATCGAGCGTTGAGTGTAGGTTACTTCTTTCTGCTAACAGTATCCTTACGAGACGGTACTTGTAGGTTATGGTTCATCCATGTCGACGCGTTATTGATAACTTTCATTAGCTGTCTCACAGCCATGTGACAATTGATATGTTGGAAGGCCAAGCAACAATTGCAGTGTAAGTAGAGTAACCTGTAACCAACCAGCTCTGTCTCTAGCACCTCGACTGTCATTGCAACGCATACCATGAACCAACACGGAGTGTACAACCATGTGCTCAGCAAAACCCACCACTCTTAACAGAACTACTACACCAACAGCAACAGCAACTCAGCCAAAAACCACTTTTTCTTTCTCATCATAAACTGAATTAATCATATATATCTATCTCATCGTCACTCAACTATACTTCTCACAAAATCGAACCTTTCAATCCACACCAAGCCAAGCTCCCGCAGCTAGTTCCGCACTCTACGACGACGCCTTCCAGATCATATTGATTTGTTTCCTACGGACCTACACCAAAGAAAATAAAAGGTTAGCTTACATATCCTGGGGCAAAGGAAAAAAAAAAAGAGAAAGAACATACCATAGGCGCCAGTATTGTTACGCCGGCACTCAAGGCTAGGATGGTGAGAACCAACTGCAGCTTGGAGAATCCCTTGCCTAGCACGTCGAACGCCTGACTCGGCGTCGCGCGGGTGGCGAAGATATCCCCGCCGAAGGCGAATATCAGGCTCGTGCTCTCGAGCAGCGTCGGGCTGGACAGCACCTTCTTGATGCCGGCGACGTTGCGCGAGTGGGTCAGGTACCACCGTCCTTCGAACTCGAGGAAGGGGTTGTACTTGAACAGGCCCTCTTCGGCTTCGGTGGAAGTGGGGTCGCGGTCGACGGGACGGCGGGGGTCGAGGACGGGGCGCGGGATGCCGATGATCGCGTTCGAGTGGGGCAGGGTGCAGAGGAGGTTGCGGGTGGTGATGCCCTGGCGGGTTTGAGTCACAGTCATGTGCGAGATGGGCTCGGGAATGACGAAGGACTGGGAGATGATGTGCGGAGAGGGGAGGGAGGCAAGGCTGGAATAGTTGGCGGCGGCGTCGAGGGGCCCGCGGTCGTTGGGGACTGGCGACTCGTAGAGTTCCGAGATCACGAGCTGGTAGCCCTTGGATGTGGAGGGGGAGATGACGTCCGCGTAGAACGAGTACGCGAACCAGTTCTCGGAGATGGTGGAGGCAATCGGTTGCGTGGTGTCAACACCCTTCTGGACGGAAGTGTGCAGGACGCGGCCAGAGACAGCATCGAGGAGGTAGAAAGTCGCCCTGTTCTCGCCGACGGTGGTGATGAGGGCGAGGTTGGGGTTCAGGTACTTGTAGAGAACAGAGCGGTTACCCAGAACCTTACCGATCGACGCCACAGGGTCGTGAGCGGGGCGTGCAGTAGCATACACGATCTTCTCTCCATGGGGAGGGAGGAACTGCCAGACGGGGGTCTTGTTGTCCCTAGCGGCCCATCCCAACACTCGGCCGTCGTTACTCTGGGTGACAAAGAACCCAGGAAAGTCGAGGGAATCCAACGGGGTACCATCCTCACGAATGCCGATAGTGACTGGAGCAGAGCCATCGTCAATGACGGCAACGGCGCGGACCTTGGTAGTGGTGCCAGGAGTACGAGCGAGGATCGCGCCAGACGTGACATCCAGAGTGACAGAGCTACCATCATCGGCGTAGATAGTGGCGGATCCTGGTTGAGCCACGATCGCCTTCACATCCCACGAGTCCTTCTCAGCAGCCTTCACAGCCCAAGACACGGCACCATGTTTCCCGGCATCCAACGCATAGACCCGACCGTTCTTCGCGGCAACGATGACAGGCTTAGAGATCCCAAAGCTGTCAAGGTTAGAGACCTCGTCAGTGAGAATGCTGGTCACAATGCGCTTCGGGAGGTCCTTGAGCCACTCAGGGAGATGCTGGAGGTCTCTAGCATGGCGCTTGACGCGGTGGATGTAAGCCTTGTAGACGCTCTCATGGCCTTCGACTTCGAGCTGATGAACTAAGTCCTCTGAGCCGTCCGTCTCAACCCACGAAGCAGCCAAGGCGCCCGCCAAGGCCTCGTACCTCGTCCATTCGACCTGACCGCCGCGGATCAACTGCCAGTCCCCGGAGACGAGAGCAGTTGCGGACCGAACGGCAACCGAATCACCCTTGGTCACAACTTCCGAGACGGCGTGCACCGCCTCTTCCAGCGGAGGCGACTGGTGAGGCCATCTTCCCAGGATTCCATGCGAGACCGAAGAAACGACGGTAGTCTCCGACTGCGTGATGCGGGTGAAGTAGACGTTGGCGTCCTTGTTGCTCGTGGAGAAGACAGACCATCCCTGCAACCGGGGCAGCTCATACGCCCTGGAAATGGCAGAAGTCTTCAGATCAACGTGGTATACCTCCGCCCAAGTGGCCGAGTCTGTCTCGTAGTGCACCAGGTAATGGGGCAGCGATTCCAGCTTCTTCGGGGTGTGGACGGCGATCGACCGGATACTCTCGCCGCTTGTGTTCTCAATATCGAAGGATTGCACCTGCTTAGTGCCAATGATGTTGACCTTCAGCGTCTTGTGCGCGGCGTCAGACCACACGATCACAGGCGCGGCCGTGTTGGCGCCGACGAAGACAACGGACTGGGGACCGGACACCTCGTTCTCCGAGCTCAGGATTTGCTGCTGGGTATGAAGGCCAGTCAGGGGATCCAGCGAAACCACGCGGATCCGATAGCCCTTCCGCGCCGATGCTTGCAGGGCGATGTAGAAAACTTCCGTGGACGAGGACGACAGCTGCAGCGGGATGTCTCCACTATCATGAGAGCTCTAGCAGTCAGCAACAGCAACCACCCGGCATTTTTAGAGGAGAGGGAACGCAGGGTTTGAAATCGAACCTTTCATCCTTGTATTCCCACTTGACCTGGCCTGTATTACCATCGAGTCTGCGAACGACACCGGCCTTTCCACTGAATAGCGCCACAGTGTCTTTAGCTGACGGCGCGGCACTGGCATCTTCAAGCTCCAGAAGCTCGAGATCCGCTATCTTCTCATCCGCAAACCACTTTTCCCAAATCAATTTTCCATCGAGAGCAGTCCATGAGGAGACATAGTCCCCCAACGCACCGACCACAGCGTTTGTTCCTTCGGAGGCTCGTAGGAGACCGGAAACGCCGCCCTGGTCGGCGGGGAGGGCGGGTTGCGAGAGGTTCTGTCTCCAAACCAGAGATCCATCTTTGGGATTCACGGCGCCGAGGAGAGAGTCCTCAGAGAGGGTATAGAGGAGGGAAGCATCGGACGAGGCGGAGGGTTTGAGGAAGAAGGTCGATTGGGAGGTGGGAAGGCCGAGAAGCGCGTGGTGGTAATCGATATGGCCGACCTCATCGATATAGATGGCCGAGCTGGAGGGAACGCACGAGGCGAGCAAGAGGAGCGTCGCCTGTAGCCACATGGTTATGACCGGGACTCTTGGGCGGTCATTGAGGGGTTACAGGCGGCTGGTGTTGTTGTTATGCAGTAATAAATAGCAGGTGGGTGACGCTATCCGGGGAGGATGAGCTGCGGGCGGTGATGGCCGACTGACCTTTGCGGCTAGTCTAGCCCTCGCTCTTGCGATCCCCATGCATTACCGGCTACGGCTCATTGGAAACAAGACACCTACTGAGTGGGTTTGAGCATTCACAGTTCTACCTCTGATCCTTTAACCATTGTATTATCTCTCTGGATCAGTAATTATCTGGCAAATATCCCGAAGCGAAGCCTAACGACAGAAACCGCAACACTGAATCCGAGATAAACCCAGATGAGAATAAATGTCTGTATCTCAGTTCTCAAAGCATCTTAAACAGAAATGTTATAACGAAGTATAAGTTTGCCAATATATACCAGGCAAAGACCCCAGCCGCTAGAGTATGGACTGATGGAGAAATAGAGAAGTGCCAGATGTAGACTGAGCAATCGGTCTGAGTCAGGTCAGACCAGGCTCTGATCAATCGTTAGCCCGTTTGATGAACTTAAATTGTACTGGTCGTCTCTTCAAACAAGCCCGGTTTATGAAATGCAGCGCAGAAATCTTCTATGAAATTATCCAATTCGATCCGAATGACGCCTCATATGGTGCTTTATTAGTGTGTTGATGAATGTCTTGATGAAAGATGAAGCGAAGAAAAATTGGCTGAGAAAGAAGGATATTATAGTCGGAACGAGAGAAATAGGTCAGATGGGATAAACTCAAGCGGCAACGGTGTTCGTGGCCGTCTCAGCCTCTGACTTGAGGGCGGCGGCGTCTTCTTGCACGGCAGCCACCTTCTCGTCCTCAGTGGCTGCGTCAGAAGTCTCTTGCGCGGCAGCCTTTTCAACCGGGATAGCAGCGGGCTCGCCTTGCTGCGCGAGGGTACCCGCAGGGAGGGTGGATTTCCGACTCTCGCCATTGACCTTGCCGAGGACCTCGATGGTGTCGCCGTTGAACAGAACGGGGCCCTTGATGAAGCTGGGCTTGGTTTCGCCCTCAGCGGCTGGAGTTTCGAGGGCGCCGACGACCTGGCGGGCCTCTTCATCGAGATTGGGCATGTCGCCCCATTTCCAGTCCAAGTCGCCACCATATTGCTTGGGGATGCTGGAGGGATCCATGAAATTCGTCAGGGTCGGCTTCACCTCTGCAGCCGAGAGAATGAAGATCTTGGACGTGGTGACCGGGTCAAACCAGCGCTTGATCCAGCCCCAGACAGTGGGGAAGAAAGAAGGGGCGCCGATGATCTACATTGACTTCATATTAGCAATGCCTCTCCATATGCTATGCAGAGAACAACTCACGAAGATCCGGTCTAGAGTCTCAGGAT